AACTAATTAAAACAAACAGAATTCTATCTAATGTCATATTAGATCACTCTTAATGCTTCTTAAATCTTCTTGGATCTTTCGAATTGATCTTCATAAATGCTATTCACGTCCATAAGTATATATGGGTCTTTTAGACATCTATTTGGCCTTGAATATGGTTTAATCACATTCTGAAACTCCCATGGTCCATAACATAATGTATTTGGGCCCCAATTTAAAGGATTATAGCTCTAATACACTCCTCCATACACATAATTGTGTTGGGCCTTTAAAAAGAATGAAATTGACTTCAAATGCTCTTTTTGGGCTCTTAGAACATGCTCTTGTCTTCCTCAAGGTCCAAGTGTTCATATTCCAATGACTAATATGCCATGGTGGCTTTCAGGGTGGCCTTCTATATGTCATGTCAAGCTTTGCATATATCCATGTCATCATCCAAGGAATGATCCATGTAAGCATTCTCGAGTTATAAAATTCCTTGAATACTTTGGAGGGCTAGTTGGGCCTCTAATTGAATGAGTGCTAGTTGGGCTTCATGACCTCCATATTGAATGCTTCTTGGTATACTATCATTTAGGGGAAAGTGACCTAAAGTAGCTAAACTCAAGGGTTAAGGAAATATGAGAAAGGTAAGAATTTTGAAGTTAACAGGAAGCATTAAGGAAGGTCTAAGAAGACAATATTGGTATCTGTGATCAATCTTGGGAAATGATTAGTCAAGTTATCTATGAAGTGGAGATGACTTATTTTATTACTCAATCCTGTGGTCTAGGATCTCCTAGAGGTCTTAACATGGCAAGTGATGATGAGGATAATAGTAATGGTAATGATGATGATGATGATAATGAGAATGACAAGGATGATATTCCAAGGTCACAGTAGATCCTAAAGAGGCTTACAATGAAGCACAGCGGCTCCCAAGGTCGTGTTAGACCAAGCCTAAAGGGAAGATGCTAAGCTGAGAGGGTGATGCCTCTTGAGGTATGAGCATGAGATGACATGCTAAGCCATGAGGGTGATTCCTCTTAAGGCTTGATAACAAGATGACCAGGGATGAGTTTAAGATATAAAAGGCCCCTCTAGTAGTTAACTAGTACAGAGAGAGTACCCTTGACTTTTTCATAGATACCATTGTTGTCGATTAGGCCAAGAGCTATAAGTCCTGAATAGTATGCATTTAGGCAAGCTAATTGTAAAAGGAGAAGGTAAAAGAAGAAAAATAGACCTTTAAGGTAAAGAGAAGATGATTGAATGTGCCAACACACTTGTTAAAGGTAAACGTTGCCTGTGATAATAGTTACCATTCCAACATACCAGTGGCTTTGTGTGAATCCTTATACGGCAGGAAGTGCTGATTACCACTGTGTTGGACTGAACTAAGAATAAGAAGAGTTTATAGTCCACGGATGGTGAATCAAGTTTCAGGGCAAAGAAAGATGAATCGACAAAGATTATTAGCAGTATAAAGTAAACAGAAAAGCTATGCAGGCGTACAAGGGAAGCCATTAGAGTTTGTGGTTGGAGAGACTAACCACAGGAATGGGTCAAAAACCTAAGGCGAAATATGAAGATATAAAGACCCTTCCAAATTTTGTTAAGAGTTAAGCTGGTAACTTATAAATTGGCCCTAACCCCTAATCTTGATTAGATACATGATGTCTTTCATGTTTCTTAACTGAAGAAGTACCGGTCAGATCCCTCTCACATCTTGAAATATGAAGATATAAAGCTGCAAGATAACCTTACTTTTGAGGTAAAACCAATAAAGATCGTGGATCAACGAACTAAGCAGCTATGGAATAAGACCATTCCAATAATCAAAGGTGATCTGGATAGGTCTAACTCAGGAAGAGGCTACACGGGAAAAAGAAGACAACATGAAGGTTAAATATCCAGAGTTATTTCTATAAGGTATGTTTTAAATTTCGAGGACGAAATTTATTTTGGGAGGAGAAAATGTCACATCCAGCAAAAATTAACCCACGCAATAGATATGAAAGATTAAGTCAAGGGCCAAAATGAAAGGTAGACTGGCTAACAAAGCCAGGCATGACATAAAATCCAAATAGGGTGCGGATTGATGTTTTTAGAATTATCAGTTTAGAAAAGGCAAAATGAAAAAATTCTAGAAAATGGTAAAAAGGTAAATTAGGGGTTTTGGAGCCTCAATGGAGGCCCTAGAGGTGAAAATGGTCTAAAAATAGTTTATTACATAATTTCCTAAAAACGGAGGTTTTTCGAGAAAAAAATAGTGAAAAGTGAGTGAAAAATAATTATTATAATTATTTAATGGCCTCAATAATTCTGGAAAAAATGTGGAATAATTATCTAAATATTTGATAAAATTTATAAAATTGATTTCAGGCACTGAAAGCATAAGAATTAATTTTAGGAAATTTATTCCCAAAAGTCTTACGATAAAGCCCGGAGGAAATTCAAAATAAATTGTTAAATGTGGAGAAAAATTCTAAAATTTTCTAGAATGCATTCTTATATTAAAATAGAATTTTTTATGGAGAAAAATGTGATTTCGGAGGCCTAGCAAAGTTATAAAAAGTTATAAGTAAATAGTAATTGATAAACTTCCATATTGGTTGGAATTGATATCTAAATGGTGGGCCAACTTTTTAGACCATTCCAGCCCAGAAGTGGGCCCCACATTGGGCTAAGAAAGCCAAAAATTCGTGCTAGTTATATGAGGGGATGTACGGACTAACTAGAATCAAGAAATAAACAGACGGTTGATCTGGGTAGGACCTTAAGAGACCCTATCTCTTACAACCCTAGCCATGAAGACACGACAAGGTTGATCAATCCCTTGATACTGTCGAGTATTCTTACAAGAATACAAGAATGTAAGCAAACCTCACACAAAGAGAAATTGATGGAGGAGCATGGTGTGATCAGGAGCACAGGCAAGGAGCCCAAACAAAGAAGTCCAACATTCCAAAAGATCCGCTACAAGGCATTGGAGGCCCAATGACAAGAGCAAGGACCAAAGCTATGAAGGAGGCCCTAAATTGTCTAATAAGAGAGCTAAAAGAGCTGGAGCCCATTTATTTCGAAGAAGCACATTTTAATGAGCCTAAAAGGAGTCCAAAAATGGTGATCACATTGCTAGAAGCCCAACAAGATGATGTATAAGGCCCATGTGGGGTTCAGATTGAAGAATTCACTTAAAATACCATGTGACAAGCATGTGCCTTGGGCAAGGGTCATAAGTGACGTCCAAGAAGGATCAAGAAGGCCTCATTATGAATTGACTATTATTTAAATTCATTTTTTTGGTCAAGAAGTGTTCTAGAAGATCATGTTTTGATCTACTTTTCTATTTTTAAATAGCAGACTTGTTTTTGAAGTTTAAGTTATTTCCTTTTATTTCCATGTAATAAATGGTGCCTCCCATAGTCAAATAATCATAAATGAGGCATCCTCCCTAGCATTTATGTCTTAGGATGCTGATTCTAGAGTGTTCTATTTTGCCTATATATAGGCTACGTTTTTTGTAATTGAATTCAGATTTAGATGAATTAGAATTGAGTTTATCTCTCTCAGTGTGAGCTTTGCTTGCATCCTTATATTCTCGTGAGAATACTCGACAGTATTAAGGAATTGATCATCCTTGTGGTGTTTTCATGGCTAGGGTTGTAAGAGACAGGTTCTCTTAAGATCCTACCTAGATCAACCGTCCGTCTGTTACTTGATTCTAACCGGTCCGTACGTCCCCTCATATCAAGTGGTATAAGAGCTAAGGTTTGCTAGCTTTTAAGTTCTATCCTTTTGGTGTTTTCATTTTTTTTTTGCTTTCTATATTGCTTCCATTTCCCTTTCGTTTCCATTCTCCTCATTTTGTCTCACTCCTTTCTTCCTTATTTCCATCCCTTTTATTATTTTTTTTCATTTTTTTTTCCTTTTCATCTCCTTCCCACCCATTGTTTTTTTTGTTCATTTGACTTGCTTTGTTCTTTTGAGTAGCAAAAACAAAAACAAAAAAAGAAAAAAAATTCGTGAAAGAAAAAGAAGAGAAAAAAAGTGCTGTTGTGTTGAAACAAAAAAAAAAGGCTATAGAATTGCTGGAAAAAAATTCAAAAATTGAAAAAAAAAAAAGGGAAAGAGTTTCAGATTTTGGAGATTGCAACATAAAAGGCAAGTTTCCTAATTTGAAAGAGCTTCCATTTCAAGTCACAATTAATTTCCTAAATCTTTATACTTGGGTGGTAAGACTCCTACTTTCCTATTTCTACTTTTCTTTATTTTATCTAGTTTCCTATTTTGATTTCCTTTCCTTTTCATATTACTTTCCTATTTTCTTTCTTCAAGTTTCCTTCTTTCTTTTGTTTCCTATTCCTTTTCCTTCCTTTTGCATACTACTTTCCTAATTTCAGTTCTTTTCTTGCAAGGTACTCACTTTCCTAAAGTTGTCTCAAGGTAGTACCTTTACTAATTACTTTGTTTCCTATTTTCCTTTACTTTCACAACTTTATTTTCATTTTGCAATTTCTGCTTCCCTTTTCCACGTTTTTTTTCTATCCATTTTTTTTCCATCATAAACTTCTTCTCTTCTCATTTTTCCCCTCCTTTCATTCCATCCTCACGTTTGGCCTATCCTTCTTCTTTCATCTCTTATCTTTTCCCCTCTTTCACATAGTTGCTGGCTCTTACAATTTCTGGTTGTGAAGGTTACCACTTTCTAATATTGTCTCTTGGTTTTTGTTGAGTTTCAATCAATAATACTATAGGAGACAAGCTTGAGTGGTAAAAGGCAAGAGTATTTTACTTCAATATAAAAGCCAAAGTTGAGAGAAACACGAGTGGCACCAAATTGATTGAGTGGCACACGCGAGCAGAGTGGTAAGGTCCTTTATTTCTATTTCTTTTCTCTTTGCTTCAACTAACATCTCAAGTTAAAGATGAGCAGGAAAGAATCCAATAATGAAGAATTCAACACAGATATCAAAGTATTCATGAGGGCTATGAGAGATGAGTTTCTCAAACTCAAGATGGAAATGGAAGAGTTAAAGATATCCAAAGCAGATAATAGTGATGACGGGGTGATTAGATCTGATTCGTCAACTTCAAAGAGCAGGAGCAAACATTCCAAAAATGACACAGCCATAATTGATCCGAAGATCAAGTATCCTACTTTCAAGGGTAATACTGATCCAGACAAATATCTTGATTGGGAGATGAAGTTCGAACAGATTTTCAGATTGAATGATTGGCCTTAAGAAAAGAAGGTAAAATTAGCTTCATTTCATTTTTCTGACTATGCTACTATTTGGTGGGAAGATTTGCAGCTTAAGAGACGCCTTAAGGGCAAAGGTCCCCCTCGTACTTGGGAGAAGCTAAAGAAACTCATGCGCAAGAAGTATGTTCGTAGTTTCTACTATCAAGAGCTTAATAGAAAGTTGCGACTGTTTAGCCAAGACTCTATGATAGTAGAAGAGTATGTACATGAGCTTGATCTTCTTAAGATGTGTGCTGGAGTACAAGAAGATGAAGAATCAAGCATGAGCAGAATTATTGATGGTCTAAGACCTGAAATTAGAGACAAAGTTTAGATGTACACTTTTGTTGATAAGGAGGAGTTGGTGCACAAAGCCATCAAAGTTGAAAAATGGTTTAAAGAGAAACACTCCAAATCCTCATCCCATGGCTGGAGGGACTCTAAACCAACCTCCAAGTGGAAGGATTCCAAGGCTAAGGATGCAGCAAGATTCACCCCTAAGGCCAAGGAGGAATCAAAGCCTAAGGGTGATGGTGGTAAGAAACTTGACTCTAAAACTTCTTTTACTGATAAAACCTCTTCTCTTAAATGTTTTAGATGTCATGGAAAGGGGCATATTGCTTCCAAATGTCCCAATAAGAGAGCCATCATTATCAAAGACAATGGTGAGTATGACAGTGAATATTCTAGTGATGATGACATGCCCTCTTTGGTGACTGACTCTGAATTGGAGATTGATGAAGCTGAACCTGTTACGGGAGAAGCATTGGTGGCTAGAAGATACCTAAATATTCATATAAAGGAAGATGATGAGAAAGAGCAGTGAGAGCTTATCTTCCACACTAGGTGTTTCATAAAGAATAAGGTATGCAGCATGGTTATTGATAGTGGTAGTGTTACCAATGTTGCTAGTACCTTACTTGTTGAAAAGCTGGACTTGCCTACTATGAAGCATCCTAAACGTTATAAATTGCAATGGTTGAATGATAGTGCTGAGGCTAAAGTCACTACGCAGGTTTTGGTTTCTTTTTCTATTGGGAACTATCATACTGAAGTTCTATATGATGTGGTTCCAATGCTTGCTAGACATCTCTTACTCGGAAGGCCATGGCAATTTGATAGCAAAGCTCACCATGATTGTTATAAAAATTGTTATTCTATACCATTCAATGGAAAAATCATTGTATTGAAGCCTCTTAGGCCAAAAGAAGCTTATGAGGACCAAGTAAGGATTGAGCAGGATTGCAAAAGAATGAATGAGTTAAAAGAAAAGGAGAGAGTGGAAAAGAAAGAAACTAAAGAGAGAGAAAAGAAAAAGAAAGAACATGAGAAAAGTGAAAAAAAGATAGAGAGTTTAATTTCTGGAAAAAGTGAGGTTAAGAGAGCACTGTTGAGTGAGCAAGTCTTAGTGCTTGTGTGTACGGATGCTTATTTTTCCCCTAACGATCTTAACCCCTCTTTGCCCTCTAGTGTTGTGTCTTTGTTGCAGGAATTTGGTGATTTATTCCCAAATGAGATACCTGATGGGCTTCCTCCCTTAAGAGGAATTGAGCATAGGATTGATTTTATTCCTGGAGCTTCTCTACCTAATAGACCTGCTTATAGAGCCAATCCTGAGGAAACTAAAGAAATTCAACGCCAAATAGATGAGCTTATGAGGAAAGGCTTTGTGAGAGAAAGCTTGAGCCCATGTGCTGTTCCAGTACTCTTAGTGCCTAAGAAAGATGGTTCGTAGCGAATGTGCGTTGATTATAGAGCCATAAATAAAATAACAGTTAAGTATCGCTACCCCATTCCCAGATTAGATGACATGTTGGATGAGTTGCATGGTGCTACTTTATTCTCTAAAATTGATCTTAGGAGTGGTTATAATCAAATTCGCATGAAAGAGGGAGATGAATGGAAAACAGCATTTAAAACTAAATTTAGATTGTATGAATGGTTAGTTATGCCTTTTGGGTTAACTAATGCACCTAGCACTTTCACGAGCTTGATGAATCATGTTTTTCGTTCATTTATTGGGAAGTTTGTGGTTGTCTACTTTGATGATATTCTTGTATATAGTAGAACAATAGATGACCATGTTATTCACTTGTATGAGGTGTTTCGAACTCTTAGGGAGAATAGCTTATATGCTAATTTTCAGAAATGCTCCTTTTGCATGGATTCTGTTGTGTTTCTTGGTTTTGTTGTAGGTGCTCAAGGGATCCGTGTGGATGAGGAAAAGGTGAAAGCTATAAGAGATTGGCCAACCCCAAAGAATGCCAATGAAGTCAGGAGTTTTCATGGACTAGCAAGTTTCTATAGGAGGTTTGTCAAAGATTTTTCAACTATTGCTGCACCTCTAAATGAGCTTGTTAAGAAGCATGTGACATTTAAATGGGGTAAAACACAAGAAATAGCTTTTAATACCTTGAAAGAGAAATTAACCAATGCACCACTTTTGTGTTTACCTGATTTTAATAAAGTTTTTGAAGTTGAATGTGATGCTTCTGGGATTGGTATTGGTGCTGTTCTAATGCAAGAGTCTAGGCCTATTGCCTACTTCAGTGAGAAATTAAGTGGAGCTTCTTTGAATTACTCTACTTATGATAAGGAACTCTATGCTTTAAAACGAACTTTAGAAACATACAAGAAATAGCTTTTAATACCTTGAAAGAGAAATTAACCAATGCACCACTTTTGTGTTTACCTGATTTTAATAAAGTTTTTGAAGTTGAATGTGATGCTTCTGGGATTGGTATTGGTGCTGTTCTAATGCAAGAGTCTAGGCCTATTGCCTACTTCAGTGAGAAATTAAGTGGAGCTTCTTTGAATTACTCTACTTATGATAAGGAACTCTATGCTTTAAAACGAACTTTAGAAACATACAAGAAATAGCTTTTAATACCTTGAAAGAGAAATTAACCAATGCACCACTTTTGTGTTTACCTGATTTTAATAAAGTTTTTGAAGTTGAATGTGATGCTTCTGGGATTGGTATTGGTGCTGTTCTAATGCAAGAGTCTAGGCCTATTGCCTACTTCAGTGAGAAATTAAGTGGAGCTTCTTTGAATTACTCTACTTATGATAAGGAACTCTATGCTTTAAAACGAACTTTAGAAACATACAAGAAATAGCTTTTAATACCTTGAAAGAGAAATTAACCAATGCACCACTTTTGTGTTTACCTGATTTTAATAAAGTTTTTGAAGTTGAATGTGATGCTTCTGGGATTGGTATTGGTGCTGTTCTAATGCAAGAGTCTAGGCCTATTGCCTACTTCAGTGAGAAATTAAGTGGAGCTTCTTTGAATTACTCTACTTATGATAAGGAACTCTATGCTTTAAAACGAACTTTAGAAACATGGCAACATTATTTATGGCCCAAGGAGTTCATTATTCACTCTGATCATGAAAGTTTGAAGTTTCTAAAGTCTCAAGGTAAGCTTAACAAGAGGCATCCTCGCTGGTTGGAATTCATAGAGACGTTTCCTTATGTGATCAAGCATAAGCAAGGTAAAGAGAATGTTGTTGCTGATGCTCTTTCTAGGAGGTATTCTCTTATCACTTCTCTTCATGCTAGATTACTTGGATTTGAATTATTGAAAGGGTTGTATAACTCTGATTGTGATTTTTCCAAAATTTGGCTTTCTTGTGAAAAGCATGGGGTGAATGACTTTTATAGATCTGATGGGTTTCTTTTTAAAAAAGATAAATTGTGCATTTCCAATTACTCTATGCGTGAGCTGCTTGTAAAAGAAACTCATGGTGGTGGTTTGATGGGTCACTTTGGTGTTGACAAAACATTAGCTATTTTGAATGAACACTTTTATTGGCCTCATATGAAGAAAGATGTCATTTCTGTTTGTACCAAATGTGTCACATGTAAGCATGCAAAGTCTAAGGTTCAACCTCATGGCTTGTATTCCCCTTTACCTGTGCCTTCCCAACCTTGGGTAGATATTTCTATGGATTTTGTGTTGGGTTTGCCTAGGTCTCAATCTGGAAAGGATAGTGTCTTTGTTGTGATTGATAGATTTAGTAAAATGGCTCATTTTATTGCATGTTCTAAAACAAATGATGCAGTCCATATTGCTGACTTGTTTTTCAAGGAAATTGTTAGGTTGCATGGATTGCCCAAAACCATTGTGAGTGACAGGGATGTGAAGTTTCTTAGCCATTTTTGGAGGACTTTATGGAGTAAGCTAGGAACTAAGTTGTTATTTTCTACTGTGGCACATCCCCAAACTGATGGGCAAACTGAGGTAGTCAATAGAACACTTACTACCTTGTTGCGTGCAATAATCCAAAAGAACTTAAAGAATTGGGTCAGTTGTCTGCCTCATATTGAGTTTGCATATAACAGAGCTGTTCACTCTTCTACTTCCTTCTCTCCATTTGAGGTTGTCTATGGCTTTAATCCTTTATCTCCTTTAGATATATTACCATTGCCTTCTAATGAGCAAGCAAATCTTAATGGCAAGAAAAAGGCTGAGTTTGTGCAGGGATTACATGCTAAGGTGAGAGCCAACATAGAGAGGAAGAATGAGCAATATGCTAGGCAAGCTAACAAAGGTCGTCGGAGGATTGTCTTTGAGCCTGGAGATTGGGTTTGGGTATACCTGCGGAAGGAGAGATTTCCCGATCAACTGATATATGGTACGGATGCGGATCGGCTAGAAACAAATCAGGAAACTAGACGAACGATCGAAGGTAGGACCTTAAGAGAACTTGTCTCTTACAACCCTAGCCATGGAGACACCACAAGGATGATCAGTCCTTGATACAGTCGAGTATTCCCACAAGAATACGAGGCGGCAAGCAAAGCTCACTCAAGAGAAATAAAATTCTCTAAAATTCATTCATTCAAATCTGATCCCCAATTACAAAAAATGTAGCCTTATATAGGCAGTAAAAGAACAATCTAGAATCAAAAACCCTAAGTCATAAATGTGCCTTAATGATGATTGACTATCTTGGTTGGCACCAATTAAGGCTAAAGGAAATAGGAAATTACCTTTTCTTGAAGAAAAAGGCTGCTACCTAAAAATAGGAAACTAACCTAAAATATTCTTATGCAATCTTTGACCAAAAGGCCTTATTTAATGCAAATAAAAATGGAAACTTAAAAAAAACGAAATTAAACCATAACTAATACATAAAGACGCCTTCTTGATGCTTCTTGGACCTTCCAAATAGATCTTCATAATTGCTATTCACGTCCATAAGCATGTATGGGCCTTTAAGACACCCATTTGGGCTTGAATATGGTTGAATCACGTTCTGGAACTCCCCTGGTCCATAACACAATGCATTTGGGCCCCAATTTAAAAGATTATAGCTCTAACGGACTCCTCCGGGCACATATAATTATGTTGGGCCTTTTAATAACATAAGAATTGGCTTCAAATGCTCCTTTTGGGCTCTTAGAACACATGTTCTTGTCTTTCTCAAGGTCCAAGTATTTATACTCCAACGACTCATATGCCATGGTGGCTTTCGGGGTGGCCTTCCATATGTCACATTAAGCTCCGCACGTGTCCATGTCATCATCCAAGGAATAATCCATGTCCTCCTCCATGTAAGCATTCTTGAGTTATAAATTTCCTGAATACTCTGGAGGGCTTGTTGGGCCTCTAATTGGATGAGTACTACTTCGGCTTCATGACCTCCATATTGTATGCTATCATCAACGCAAATCTAAGTTACATCCAAGAGGAGATGGCCCTTTCCAAGTCTTAGAGCGGATCAATGACAATGCTTATAAAATAGATTTGCCTAGTTCCTATGGTAATGTTAGTGGTACTTTTAATGTTGCTAATTTGTCTCTCTTTGATGTTACAGATTCGAGGACGAATCCTTTTGAGCAAGGAGGGAATGATGGAGGAGCATAGTGTGATCAGGAGCACACGCAAGGAGCCCAAACAAAGAAGTCCAACATTCCAAAAGATCCGCTACAAGGCATTGGAGGCCCAATGACAAGAGCAAGGACCAAAGCTATGAAGGAGGCCCTAAATTGTCTAATAAGAGAGCTAAAAGAGCTGGAGCCCATTTATTTCGAAGAAGCACATTTTAATGAGCCTAAAAGGAGTCCAAAAATGGTGATCACATTGCTAGAAGCCCAACAAGATGATGTACAAGGCCCATGTGGGGTTCAGATTGAAGAATTCACTTAAAATACCATGTGACAAGCATGTGCCTTGGACAAGGGTCATAAGTGACGTCCAAGAAGGATCAAGAAGGCCTCATTATGAATTGACTATTATTTAAATTCATTTTTTTGGTCAAGGAGTGTTCTAGAAGATCATGTTTTGATCTACTTTCCTATTTTTAAATAGCAGACTTGTTCTTGAAGTTTAAGTTATTTCCTTTTATTTCCATGTAATAAATGGTGCCTCCCATAGTTAAATAATCATTAATGAGGCATCATCCCTAGCATTTATGTCTTAGGATGCTGATTCTAAAGTTATTTCCTTTTATAGGCTACGTTTTTTGTAATTGAATTCAGATTTAGATGAATGAGAATTGAGTTTATCTCTCTCAGTGTGAGCTTTGCTTGCATCCTTATATTCTCGTGAGAATACTCAACAGTATCAAGGGATTGATGAACCTTGTGGTGTCTTCATGGTTAGGGTTGTAAGAGACAGGTTCTCTTAAGGTCCTACCTAGATCAACCGTCCGTCCGTTA